AGGGCATCTCGACCGCCGTAGCTTATGAAAATGGCAAGATCATGGGGAATGTTGGAGAAGTTGTACACCGGCGGCTTGATTTTTCCGTAGTGTTTCAAGTTGAGGTATATTCCGTCGTAGTTGTATTTCGCAAATACTCCATGTTTAACAACTTTTCAAGCCAATCAAACAACATTTTATTCAATTAAAAGAAAGCAAAAGATGCTTTTTGAAACCGTATAACTAACAATAAGCTTACTTTGAGCTAAGTGGACCAGGTTCTTTGTCGACGTTGATTGCGGTTCATTATCGAGAAAGAACTGAACCGTAGATGAATTGAGACAACAATTATCACCTAATAATATAAATAAATTATTAGTTTGAATTAATAATTCTTTCCAAATTACTTTAAAAAAATAATTTTTGAAAAAAGTTGAGACGAGAAGATACCAGTAATAGCAGGTAACAAGTCATAGCAATTCATTCCCGGAAAAGCACACAAATATTTCACAAATTTCTCCACTGCCTGCCTGTCATAGATGAAGAATGAACGATTGATTTTTTTTTATTTTAAATAAGGTTTAAAAATAAGGTATTTATTAATGAAATTTTGAAATTTCATTTGTATTTTTAAAATTTTAAATGTAGTTTTGAAATAAAATAATAGTTTTTTCATAAATAATAAAAAAAATAAACGATATTTTTTAAAAAATTTTGAAAAGTATTTAAGAGTATTATAGACTATTTTATTTAAAAAATTATAAAATTTATGGTTATTTTTATTAATTTAATTTATTTTACTAAGAAAATAGAAAATAAGTTATTTACCCTTTTGGATTGAACTCTATAATACCCAACGACTCAATAATCTGCAAGAAGCATTAAATAAAGGGTTAACCAATAAGAAAGAAACGCCACGCCGCCGACGCCGACGTGGCGACGGTGCTCTGTTTTAAAACCCATTTTCAAAACTCATCGCCGCCCACCTCGCCGAGGAGCGATTGGGCGGCCAAGGCTCCGACAGCGGTGGTCATGTGGCTGAGATAAGCGATGGGGCTCAAAAGCCCCACCGATTGCACCTGGTTCACCAGCCTCCCTTCCGACAACGAGGCTAGCATTATCAACGTCCCCTGCCGATCCAACACCGTCGGTTATACTCCGATCATTAAAAATTGGAGAATTGAAATAAACCCACCAGAGAATGGCCGACGTAGTGGATTTTCCGGCCAGTTTGCTGGGAAACGTGGTCGAAGACGGCGGGGAGTTCATAGGCGGCGAGCTCGTCCCATGACCAGTTCCAGAAGTCCCGGTCGGCAGGGTTCAGGGCGGTGTGGCGGCGGCTGAATTGAGTCCCTCGTGTGTTGGAAATCCAAACGTCGAAGCCATTATCGGCGAGAATCAATGGTAGGTTCTGCTCCGGCGAGTTCAGAAGCCACGACATCCCATCCTCCATAAAAATAAAATTCCACCGTATAATAATTATAAACTAAATTACAATATAATAATAATGTTCGGAGACGAGATTATATTTTCATTCCTATCTCTATCTTACTCCGCCCCGTCCTTACTGGCGCACTATCCACCCCTTTTAGGTCCAAGCGTCTTTACTGGCATTCTATCCCACTCCCTTTTAGGTCCCAGCGTCCTTACTGGCACACACATTATCCACGCCCTTTCAGGTCCCAACGTCCTCACGGGCACATTATCCTTCCCTTTCCAAGTCCCAACGTCCTTACTGGCCCAGCGTCCTTCTTAACACACACACTATCCACCCCCTTTCAGGTCCCAATGTCCTCACTGGCACACTATCCACCCCTTTTCAAGTCCCAGCGTCCTTACTAGCACACTATCTACTCCCATTTAGGTCCGAGCGTCCTTACTGGCACACACACTATCCCACCCTCTTTCAGGTCCCAACGTCCTCACTGGCACATTATCCACCCCCTTTCAAGTCCCAGCGTCTTTACTAGCACACTATCCACCCCCTTTCAGGTCTCAGCATCCTTACTTGCACACTATCCATCCTCTTCAGGAAATAGTCTCCTCTCTAGCACATCGTCTAGTGTCTTGCTCTAATACCATTTGGAACGGCCCAATCTAAAGCCCACCGCTAGCAGATATTGTTCTTTTTGAGCTTTTCCTTTCGTGCTTCCTCTTAAGGCTTTAAAATGTGTCTGCTAAGGAAATGTTTCCACGCCCTTATAAGAACTAATGTTTCGTTCTCCTCCCCCAACCAATATGTGATTGTGGGATCTCACACAGGGACGAAAAAAGTTTTTCGTCCCACCCCACCTAATAAAAATTTGAAACCCGAGATCTATACATACATACATACATATATATATATATTGAGTGGAGTAATAAACATAAGAGAGTGGCCACTTTACTTTAAGTTATATTAAAACAAGTAAAATATTTAAATACTTAAGTTGGCTAAACATTCTATAACATGTGCCCCATGCTCACCACTATATTATGTATCCCTCAAATATATTAACCCAACTTTGATTTATAATAATAATAATAATAATAATAATAATAATAATCATGTCACACCCACAAACTCAATCCATTAAAATTATCTATAATTTTTTAATTCAATAATATAATAAATTAGAGTCAATAGTATATCAGCTGAATTATGTTCACATTGGTTAATAAAATTAATTTATTATAATAATTTTTAAAATATTATCTTCAATATCGATTATATTTTTATATATATGAATTTGTTTTACGACTAAATTTATTATTTAACGGATAAAGAAAACATACCACAAGAATACCATGTTGTACGATGACGGGTGGTTTCTTGATTCCTCGGCCACTCCCATGGCGACTGTGTGGGATCCTCTGCAAGCTTAGAATATATCCATCTTTCGTCGTCACCTATTATGTACATCGAAATTAGGGTTACGGTAGAACCGATAATAATTTAAATTTTCATTTCATAACTATATAATTGGAAATTTATGAGACATTTCTTTAATTAGAATGGTCTTTGCCTCAATTTATTAGTTTTTTTAAATTAGGAAAAAAAAACCTTAGAATTAGTTTAATTTTTTTTAAATAAAGATTTGAATTAATTACCCAATTACGAAAATTAAAATAAAAATTAAAAACTTTTTTTAAAAATTTTTTGAGTTGAAAAACATCCAAGATAAGAAAAGAAAATAGATATTTTAATTTCTGAAAAAAAAAAAAATATATATATATATATATATATATATATATATTGCCTGAATTTCTTGGCACATATAGCCATGAATGGTAACAGCAGAAGCACAGATGCCCAATTCCTCCGGCGAACCAAGGACGCCACCGTGGCCACCGCCGCAACAACCACCGAGAACCACAACCGCCGCCGTCATCACAACAGAAAACCCCCGGAAGAAGGCCATTTCCACCGTCGCTACTTCAATTAGCCCTCTATCTCTCTATCTCTCTCTGGTTAAGGCTTTTTATAATGCGAGAGAGAGAGAGGGGGGGGCCCACGTTGAGGACGTGGCAGTTTTTTTAAGGGAAAATGGATAAATTTGATTTATACACGTGGATTAAAGTATAATTCAATAATTATCTATAAAAACTACTTACCTAATCCTAATTATAAACCTTAAACACGGGTGTTATGGTCATGCTTATGTTCGGCTCTAAACCTTTTTTACTTGCTTTCACGTTAGTTAGTTCTTTATTATTAGAATTTATGTGTGTACGATCCTTCACCAAAATCATATCTATACTTGTTAAGACTAAAATGTACCGTAAAAAAATGTGATTAATAGTTGATTTTTCTACCTAGGTTGTATGCTATTAAAGTCGTTGTTGTTACTTATTACTTTATACAAATTGTTTTCCAAAACTTACTCGAACCCGATTTTCTAAAACTATTTGTCAAGAGCGGAGTCGGAGGATTGAGGAACATACGTCGTCCATGTCAACAGTATCCTAAGTTTAGTTGGCTGACTTACTCGAGAGCAAGAGTAGGTATTAAACAATTACATTGTGAGGCCCACAGGGTGCGATTGTGACACCAAAGATGCTTAACTTGGAGGTCCACCGAAAAGGAAGGCAAATCTTGTTGATACTAGTAACTATGCATTATTTTTAAGCCTTTCTTAACCAACTTGATAAAGTTCGTATATTTATTAGAAACAAAATTGAAAGTTCACGGGTACATTAAACCCAACCCGTAATAATCTTAAAAGTAAGGTTGGGTTATTGTAACCCTATTTTTGGGTTGACTTAACCAAGAAAATGTCAACTCGCGAACTGACCTGAATTCTCGGCCTTCAAAAAATTCAACTCAATTCAACCTTAATGATTTTGGTTGGATAGTTCAAGTTGTTCGGGTTCTCGGGTGTGATGTCCCACATTGGTTGGGGAGGACAAGAAACCACCATTTATAAGGGTGTGGAAACCTTCCTCTAGCAGACGCGTTTTAAAGCCTTGAGGGGAAGCCCGAAAGGGAAAGCCTAAAGAGGACAATATCTGCTAGCGGTGGGCCTAGGTCGTTACAAATGGTATCAAAGCCAGACATCGGACGTGCGCCAGCTTTCTCGCTGTTCCCCGAAGGGGGTAGACACGAGGCAGTGTGCCAGTAAGGACGCTGAGCCCCAAAGGGGGTCCCACATCGATTGAAGGAAAGAAAGAGTGCCAACGAGGACGTTGGGCCCCGAAGAGGGGTGGATTGTGAAGTCCCACATTGGTTGGGGAGGAGAACAAACCACCATTTATAAGGAGTGGAAACCTTCCCCTAGCAAACACGTTTTAAAGCCTTGAGGGGAAGCCCGAAAGGGAAAGCCCAAAGAGGACAACATCTACTAGCGATGGGCCTGGGTCGTTACATCGGGTTATATGAACATACCTAATATATAAAGAACGACATTTTTTCGATTTTTTAAACAAAAAATATGATAATTAAATTTTTATGAAAAAGGTTGTTTATTATATTTCTCAGGAAAAACCCAAAAAAGTCCCATTGCTTTCATCTTCTTCTTCTTCTTCCTCTCCTCTTTGATTTCTAAGATATTCTGATATGGATGTACTAAGAATCTAAGACATGTTTATACATAGACACAGCCTTCAACAACACCAATATCTGTATCTGATATTTCAGGACTTTACACATTTCTGAACAATTGTGAGCTACTCCATGAGCTTTGGGGTCTCACAATGGCAGAAATTCAGAGGGAATTTGCAGCTCGTGGCGTGTTTGATCGAGCGTTGTGTTTATACAGCTATGGCAGGACTTGCCTTCTTCCTCCGGTCGCTGAAGCTACGACGTGATCCCAAGCTTGGGAGGCAGCATTGTGCAGATCCAAATCGTTTCTCCTTTTCAATCCAGACATCTCCTCCATTTGAGGTCCTCTCGCTGCTGCATACGGAGTTTGTTCCCGACATGTAAGGCGTTTCGGGATTTGATTGCAGGGCGAGTTCGTTTAGTGTTGGTTTGGTTTGTATGTCAGTGCCATTTCTTGAGCTATCCCTGAAAAGTTCAGCCAGTTTCTTCTTTCCTGTTGGTGATGGTTTGGGCATGACAATTGGAGTTAGATCATCGAGGACGTGAACTTGGTTCATCCGTGGAGTACCGGAGGAGAAGCTCGTGCGTACCGGAGTGTTTCCTCGTGACGGGGTGAAATCTGCAGCCATTGCAATTGAATGCTTTAGATAAGGAGACTAACAGCATAAAAGAATTCTAATGACTACTTACCACCATTGACACTGTAGAAATCATCTTCACAATCCGAATCCAACCAGCCTCGGGACTCGAAAAACGCTTCATCTTTGCTACCTATGAGACCAGTTTAAAGCTCCATTGTCAACTTGCTTCTTTCATAGAACAGCCATTTCAGAGTTCATACAAAAGTAGGCGAGATAGATAGCAAAACATATATAAACACAAGGACTAGTGTGAAGAACTCTTTCAAGAAAGGACACAAAAAGAAAGAACTCACTATGACAATATAAGCAAGAAAGCGTTCTAATAGCACCCAATGAAAGTCATGTAACAGCTCAAGTCCACCGCTAGCAGATATTGTCTGCTTTGGTACGTTATGTATCGTTGTCAGCCTTACGATTTTAAAACGCGTCTACTAGGGAGTGGTTTCCACATCCTTATAAGGAATGTTTCGTTCCCCTCTCCAACCAATGTGGGATCTCACAATTGGCCAAATCGGATAATATCTGGTAACGGTGGGTTTGGGCTGTTACAAATGGTATCAAAGCCAGACACCGGGAGGTGTGCCAGCGAGGATGCTGGCCCCCAAGGAGATAGATTGTGAGATCCCACATCGGTTGGAGAGGAGAACGAAGCATTCCTTGGTATGGAAAACTTTCCCTAATAGACGCGTTTTAAAACCATGAGGCTGACAGCGATACGTAACGGGTCAAAGCAGACAATATTGAATGGCCCAAGCCCACCGCTAGCAGATATTGTCCTCTTTAGGTGGATTGTAAGATCTCACATGGAGAGGAGAACGAAACACTTTTTATAAGGGTGTGGAAACCTCTCCCTAGCAGACGCGTTTTAGAAATATTGAGGGGAAACCCGAAAGGAAAAGCCCAAAGAGAACAATATCAGCTTGCAGTGGGCTTGGACCGTTACACAATATCGGCTAGCGGTGGGCTTGGACGGTTACATAAAGCAACAAAGACCCACTAAAAATGGAACTCCAAACATAGATAAGTGAAGAACAGCAACCTTGTGAAAGTAGTCCAAGAACAGAAAGTGCTTCATCTATGCAATTCTAAGAACAAATGATCATACAAGAACAAATGATTATTCAAAATGAACCAAACAGGAAAGGCTAAGCTAAACTTGTAATAGACTGGCAGCTTAGTAATAGCTATCAATTAGCCCCGAAGGGGTGGCCCTGCTGATAAGGACTTAAGACGTTGAGTAAGCATTCCTCACTTTCCATGAACTCTGGCATGCTTCATGTGAGATGGATAGAAACTCATGACAATGTTCTTATCAAAAGACAAACTCAAGAACTCTGGTATGCAACAAATTATAAGAAACACCCATCAAAGGATCAATCCACTGATAACAATATATAGATAGAACTGTGCCAATTCTAAGAAATCTGGGGTTTCTCCAAGTTTAATGAATAATTATTCGAAAAGAAAGAGGAAAATTCTTCTCCTGTTCATCAATCTCTGGGGATTTACATTGGAAAAGAGATCGATATTTTAATTTTTTATAACAATAAAACAAATGGGACCTAGATTAACTTTATCGTTCCAATTAAACAATGATCCTATAAGATATTGAATTAGAAAAAGAAAACAGGGTTAGATCATGTGAAAGCAATCAAAGTCAAATCAGGGACACGCAAGAAGCAAACACTTTAGATCGCAAAGTTCATCACTCAACTAAAACAAATCAGCAAGAAATAATTCAGAGAAAGGAAACAAAAAGAAGAAAACAAAGCCGATTAAACTTGAACAAAGTCAAGAAGAAGAAGAAACGGATGATGAGTACCGAAGTGAGAAGGGGAGCTCTGAGATTTGACGAAGACGCCGCCGTGAATGGGAGGGTTTCCGATGATCGGAGTGTCGTTGTCTTTGATCGGGGAGGGAGGAATTGGCAAACCGTTGGGTTTAGAGCCATTTGAGAGTCGGAATTTCACGGCGGAATCGGAGTTTCTATGGATTGAAACACAGGAACCCATTGATGATTTTGCTCTGTTCTTGGCTTAAATTGATGGCTGCGTGATCATCAGGGACTGGAAATGAAGAAATGAAAATGGGGTTTTAGAGAGAGAAGTGGGGAGATGAAAGATGAGGACGGTTTGGGTAGTGGAAGTGTTGTAATGGAAAGAGAGATCGAAAGACCAATCACTATCAGAGAGAGAGAGAGGATTTGGGCATGAAAGGAGAAGGTTGCATTAGCTTGTGGGGCAATGCCAAACATTATTGGAAATGAATGTTGTGTGAATGGGAGTTTTTTTTTTTTCTTTTTTCTTTTTCTTTTTTTTTTCGTACCGTCGTATACATCGGTTCGCAACTTGAATCAACGTGGGATCTCATAATTCACCTCCTTTCGAGGCTCAACGTACTCGCTGACGCACCACTCGGATCTCACAATCCACCCCTTTCGAGGCACAGTGTCATTGCTGGCATACTACCCAGAATATGGCTCTGATACCATTTATAACCGTTCAAGTCTACCACTAACAGATATTGTCCTCTTTGAGTTTTTTCTTCCGAACTTCTTCTCAAAGTTTTTACAACATGTTTGCTAGGGAGAGGTTGACACACCACCTGGATATCTCAATCCACTCCCTTTAGGGCACAGTGTCATCGCTGCACTCTGCCCATAACCTGGCTTTGATACCATTTGTAACCGTCTAAGTCCGCTGCTAACAGATATTGTATCTTTGAGTTTTCTCTTTCAGGCTTTCCCTCAAAATTTTTACACGTGTCTGCTAGAGAGAGGTTTCCACAATCCTTTTAAAGAATGTTTCATTCCCTTCTACAATCGATGGTTTATTGTCATTTTTAAAATTTAGATATTTTAGTTATTATGAATAAATATGATATTTTTAAATAATTAAAAATAATAATACGAAAATAGAGAAACTTTATTTAGGTTGCTGGATCAGACTCAACAAATCCAAAATTTGTACTGTCAACTTAAGCATAATTCAATTAATTGATGTCAATTTTATAAAAATTTAAAATTATTTTAAATAATTTGGATATGTGATATATAAATTTAGTTTATAAAAGGTGTATTATTATTTTTTAAAAAAAGAAATCATCTTTCTATTTCACTTTATTTTATTTTAAAATTATATGAAAATTTTAACTTTTTTTAACATAATTTGTTCTTTTTAAATAATTCCAAAAACATGTCCTTTATTGTGATTTGACATTACTAAAATTTTAGGAACCTTTAAAAATAAATGACTATAATATAATATATATATTATAATTAAAATATAAAATTGCTTTTAAATAAAGTCACTTTTGATTTTTTTTTATGACATAACTTTATTTGATTTTTTAATTGTCATGCTGAATTAGGAAAATTAGAAAATAAAGTCTATTTATTTATTATAAATTATTAATAAATAAATAAATAAAAACAAGAAACAACTCGGTACTGGTAGCATTGAGTCTTGTTAGTCTCTTTCTATCGGCACCTCTTGTTGGATGCATGATGAGCTCGAAAGGTCGTTTCGTGTATCGCTTCAATCTTTGCATGGCTTGTCACGAAACACGTCTCGATTGCTTGTATTCTCGGATGTCGTGCATTTAGTGGCATGATGTGCTTGGAAAACCACTCAAACATGTTGCTTATGTATTGCTAAATGAAGCATGAACTGAATCTTCGGGTTCATATGACTTGCCTTTAGTTTCCTTGTGTGACTATTTAATTTTTTTAAATTACATTATATATATATACACCACTCTTGAGACATGTGGTCTAAGCGAGCTACCATGTAGTACATGCGTGTGTTACATTGAGGGCGAGTATTGCAAGTCGAGTGTCTAGGGCGACTTTTATTGAAATGGTGTTTTAAGGAGTGTCGGACGACATAAGTGTATTGACATTACATCTCAGTCCATGTGTCAAAGGTTGGATCATACACCCGTTATTCGATACGGAGTCCGTAAATGATAAGACATGGACATAAGAGGGTCCAATGCTCGGATAGAACCCAGATAAATGGATATTTAAGATGTCCCAATATTATGAATGACATATAGACCTGTTCTCAATGGACATAATCAAATGAACGACGATGGTCAATGACATCCCGTAACTTAGTGATTTTAGGTATCAAGGGAAATTTGAATTCTCGGAGTTCTAAATTGTACCACGTGGTATTTATTTTATTATTATTATTATATTTTGAGTAACAATTACAAAGTAAATAAATAAATAAAAAGCAAATAGGCTAAAAGTCTTTGTTTAATTTTAAAATTAAAAAATGGTTGGAATTTGCCAATTAATTTTTTTAATATATTAAACACTAAAATAAAAAGTCTCGAGACACGTATGATACACGTCATTAAAATTGAAGGACCTATCAGACAAAATTAATATTTTTTAAGGTCAACTTCTTAGCTTTCGAGCATATATTGTATTTTAATAATTAATTTAATTTAATGGAAAAAAATCAAGAATAATGAGGTGTTTTAATTGACTTTAATGTTAGAATATAAAATAATATTATTATTTAGATTTGATCAAAATCTAATAATACACCTTTTTCAACCCATAGAATATGACTCTTTTATTTTATTTTATGCTAATTTATTTATTTCTTTTTAATTTCATGGTGCAGTCTTGTTTTATATAATTATTAAATGGATGAAAATGACTATTTATATTTCTAGAAAATTATTATATATATATATATATATATATATATATTTAAAAAATATCTATTAAGCTATAAGAAAACAATATAATTTTCATAAAATATATTCTTTTAAAAAATAAATGAATTAGTCTCATTTTAATTGAGTGATTTTTAATTATTGCATTTTATTCCTACAAATAAATAAATAATAATTTTATAAACTAAAATAAATTTTATATTTTTATTTATTAAAACTCCAATTATTCCTCTAATTATTATTGCAATAATATTTTTTTTTGTCGGTTTTTAGAGGATGATTGCAATAAAGTGTTACATTGCTAAATTTGGCATTTAGCAATGAATTTATATTTTTGAAGAAAATTATAAAATTATAAAAATAAAAAATAAATTAATATATAAACGTATACGGTAAAAATGTTAATGTCATATTGATGTTGAACTTATGGTCGAAAGTAATTAAATTTGTAGTACAATAATTATTTACATTATGTGGACGAATTATTTCAATAATATAAAGTCAACGGGTTGAATTATCTCATTTCAATATAATTTTTTAATTTCATTTTCGTATTTTTTTAAATTTTTTTAAAAATATTTTTTTTCATAATTTATGTATTATAATATTTACATTTGGTAAAATTTAATTGAATTCTTACATAAATTCTTAAAATAAAATTAATTTTTATTCGAAAAAAAAACAATTAATTGATTAATATTAAAATGAAAATTGGGAGAAGAATTATGTATGTCGGCAAGCCTTAATATAATCCACGTGTTTTTTTCTAATAAAAAAATATATTTCAGATTGGTCCTAATTTTTCTTATTATTACAATAAAACCCCTCCTTAAAAGTTTACTTTACCATGTTGACCCAATCATGACAGGTAGGAGAGAGAAAGTGACATGGATTTTTCTTGCCTAAATAGCCAAATAACTCGTTTGTTAATTATTATTTAAATTAACAAAATTATCCATAAAAATAAAACTTTTTTAAATGTGAAAGAATATTAATAAAAAAAATTAAAATTTAAAATTATTTTTAAAATAAAACACTAACCGTTCTATTATAAAATTAACAATATATTTTTAGATTTTTAAATATAAGAGTCGGAGACATTAAAATTAGATATATCGACCCAAGAAAGTGGATAAAAAAAGTTATCAATTATTGCACTTTAGTCCTTTTAAAACTTTTAAGAAACTTATTGAGTTACCTAAAATAAGTGCGGGGTCGAACACGTGGGCCACGGGAGGCCCTAAAGTCCAAAATGGGCTGCTCATTTTTGTTGGTTTAATCAAAACTCCATCCAATTGGAAAAAAAATTATTGTGGACGTCTTACTAGAAATGTCCATTTAATATGTGGCGTTCAAGTCCTACATGGACTTTCCTCGACGGGTTTAAAAAAAAATTACTATTTAAACGAGAGGAAGCAGAAAGAGATTTTTCAGATCAGTAACATAAATTATATTTATTATTTCCCGTCTAATATTGGTAAAACATTATATTATATTTTTGTGGATCAAATATTAAATATTTATATAAAGAAAATATTGTATCGATGAAAAAGACATATATGTCCACATCACATATGCAATAGAAGGCCGGCCCATAATCATGGGCCGGAAACATGGGCCTCAGTGAAGAAATCAACAAATGGATTATTAAATTATAATTGTTTTTTAAAATAATTAATTTTCTAAAAAAACATATTTATAGAATGTGGCATGTATACATGACACGTGGCACCATGAAATTATGATTTAAACTTTTTAAAAGACATCGGAGATGACTAATGACAGCATTACACGTGGCACATTGGCTCTCCAAGGAAACCCTAAAACATTGGAGGAAAGAGAATGGCAATTCTGTAAATAAGAGACAATCCAATGGCATTTAGTTATTATTTCACGTCTTAAACCTCTTTTTTCCATTTATGTGGAAACGTTGAAGTTCGTTGTTTTCTTCTTCCTCTTCTTCTATTTTCCTTTTTTTTCGTCTTAAACCCCAAACTTTGCCGCCGCCATGTCCGTCCTCAGCCGCCTCAGTGCGGTGGCGCGGCCGATCCGCTGTTTCCGTGAGTCTCCGATCGCGGGAAGAGCGTATGGATCTGCGGCGGCACTGGAGGTGGATTACGATTACTATGAGGACGACGAGGAATTCGAGAGAGTGAGTGGGGATCGGAGCCAGGGCAGGGTGATGGCGGAATCTCGAGGGTGGATGCCGAGAAGAGGAGTGCAGTGGGTGGTTTTAGGAGACCCTGGGTCGAAGAAGCATGTTTATGCAGAGAGGCTCTCGAAGCTTCTCGATGTTCCTCATATTTCCATGGGGAGTCTTGTTCGTCAGGAGCTCAATCCTCGGTCTTCTATCTACCAGCAGGTTCTTGTTCTTCTTTCTAATTTCTATGTGCAAAGTTTCACTTGAAGTAGATATTTAGTAGGTGAAATTTGGCGGTGGAATGCATGTACTTTCTGCATTTTGACATCTTTCTAATTTCTAAATTTCTAATTTGTATGATAAAATGATTGTTAAGAATCTTGTTTCTACGTAATTGATGATAAACCAGGAATATTGTGAAACATTGTGAAATAAATTTGTGTAATTTCTACTTCTTGTTGGTTTGTATAATGAGATAGTCTCAATTGTTCTGTTCCCTTTCCTCCATTTCAGATTGCTAGTTCAATCAATGAAGGAAAGCCTGTTTTGGAAGAAATCATCTTCAGACTGTTGTCAAAGAGGCTAGAAGAAGGGTATTGCAATGGTGAATCGGGCTTCATTCTTGAAGGAATTCCAAGAACAAGGAATCAAGCAGTATGTCTCTCTTCCCAAGAACAGATTTGACATTTCTTTCTCCATTTTCAATGATATGCCTAAAACTCTTCTTCGTGATTCTTCAATGGCATTATCAAATGTTTTGCTTTTGAATGGGTGGATCATCTTTGCAGGAGATTCTTGACCAAACTGCAGATATTGATTTGGTCATTAATTTCAAAACCACTGAAGAGCCCTTGATTAGAAAGAATCTGGGTTCTGGAAACTTTTCTGGCTTTCATGAATATAGCACCATATGCAGCTCTGGGAGCAGTCAAAATCTCCAGCCACTGGACAAAGAGCCGAAATGCCTTTCTGCTACTACAGAATATTCCTGGAAAGAAATGACATCTATGGAGCAGGTAACGTTCAATTTTTAAGTAGGCATTCCAATAGTTTATATTCAATAGTAAGCCCTGCAATTTAGCTACGAGATCCCACGTCGGATGTAGAGGAGAACGAAACATTCTTTATAAGGGTGTGGAAACCTCTCCTTAGCATACACGTTTTAAAAACATTGAGGAGAAGCTTGAAAGGGAAACCCAAAGAGAACAATATCTACTACCAGTGGTTGGGACGTTGTATTAGCATTATGTGGTGATGAGGCACACATTTTGTTGCATCGAGGCTAAGAAATATGCCTAGTGTCACGATCATGCTTGTTAGAAAAGTGCGATTGTGACACCTAACACGTTGTGTTTGGAGAAATCTTTTCAAAGTCATATAGTTAAGCTTCTAGGTGAAAAATCGAAACCCCATTTGATAACCATTGATATAACTATTTCTGTTCTTTATTTTTTGTTTTTCGGTATCCTGTTTAAGCTTGCAAGTAAAAAGATCGAAGAACTTTGAGTATTTGTTATCTGAAAACTAGTTTCGAAGTAAGAGAAGCTTCTGAAAGACGAAATTTGAATTCGATATGATTTCAGAGGAAGCCATTGGAAGAGTACTACAGAGGACAGAGGAAACTTGTGGACTTTCAAGTAACAGGAGGGCCCGGAGAAACATGGAAAGGGTTATTAGAAGCATTACATCTTCAGCATATTAATGCTGTAAGTTCTACTCAGAAGCTAACCACATGATTTTAGCTTCAAGTTTTGGTTCATCCTTTTTTAACCATTGCGGCGTAGTAGTAAATATAAATGTGAGAGTGAATTGACATAATAACATCATCATGCTGGAGTTTTCCTACCCCAAATATTGAGTTTTGATGTTTTGTTCAACAATTTTTGTTTGTTTGTGAGTTTTGTAATGTAGAAGTCAGTCAGTGAAGTTATTAGGGAAGTTTTGACAAAAATGTCAGTAATGTTGAGCTTATGGCCTGATTATATAAATGTAATCCGACCTTCAAATGTCTACTTTTGTTCTTTTTGACGTCCTAAAAGGACTTGCCTCGAAAAGGAACCACTTGAGATATTCATTGGAAACCGACTCAGATAGTTGTCATTATCAACGAAAGTACCGTGTAGTATATGGACTCTCATAGTAATAACCTCTTTCGTTTCGAGTATATTTGACCTTCTCCTATCTACTTTTTGTTTTTTAAAGTAAAAAAATGTATTTTTGCTAGTGGTGTTCTTGGGCTTGAGTCGTTACAAAAAAGACGTACTTGCTTGCCCAAAATGGAACCACTGGAGATACTCATTGAAATCTAGCTCAGTTAGCTGTCACTGTCAACTAAAGTATTGTCTCTCGATTATAACCTAATTGAGATGATTTAGGTAGGAGAGTCGATATATATATTTTTATATTTATTTATTTGAGGCACTCAAATTGGGAATGAAACCACTAGAGATACTCAATGAAATCGAGCTGAGATAGTTGTCATTATCAACAGAAGTACCGTGCAGTATGCGGATTGTGGACTCTACCGTACAGTATGCGGATTGCGGACTCTATAACCTAGATTGCGGACTTATAACCTAATTGAGATGATTTAGATAGGAGAGTCTATATATATTGATTTAGATAGGAGAGTCTATATATATTTATTTATTTATTTATTTATTTATTTGAGGCACGCGACTTACTAGAAAATTTAAAATTTATAACAAATCTATACCAATTTTTTTAAAAATTATTAAAACAAATTCAAATTTATTTACAAGCACATTAGTAAAATTAATTATTTTAAACAACAACAATAATTATTTTACAAAATCTTAATAAATAAATAAAAATACTTTAAATTTTGAATTAATTTAAAATTTATTTTTGAAGAATCTATATTTAAAGAGTTCCAAAAGTATTAGTAGAAAAATTGATTTTATTTAAAAAAGTATTAAAAAAAATTATTTTTATCCTCTCCAAAATATATTTTTAAATAATTTTAAAATTACTCTAAAATATATTTTAAATAATTACTGCAACAGGCTACATGCCCAGTGGCCCAAACCCGTTTCCCTCCTCTTCCAAGTCCAAGCTCGCATTCAGATTCGAACAGAAGCCCGTTTTTCGTCGTCGTCGTCGTCGTCATCTGCCTTCTCCCTCTCCTACCCTTGCGATTGGGGCCGCGCCAGAACCTTAATACTGTGTTGTCGGCGGCGATGGCAGCTTTCCATGTGTAAGGAACAGACCCATATCTTTCTTCAACCTCATATTTTCAAGTATCAATCATGTGGCACTGCTTGCGCTACAACAAATTCTTTCCAACTTCATTCCATGGCCCAATTACCAATCTTCCTCTTCGTTTCATCTTCGCCGTTGATTCTTCTGTTCAATCCTACACCGTTACGCCGCCGATCAAGCCCTGGCCGCAGCGTCTCTATCCCAAGCGCCTCGTTGCTATGATCATTCGCCAACAGAATCTCGACCTCGCCCTTCAAATCTTCCACTACGCCGGCAAATATCATCCCGGATTTTCCCATAATTACGATACTTATCATGCGATCATTCATCGTCTCTCTCGCGCTCGAGCTTTTGAGCCTGTCGAGTCTTTGCTTGGGGAATTGAAGAATTCTGGTATCAATTGCGGTGAGGATTTGTTCATTTCTGTGATTAGAAACTATGGGCTTGCGGGCCGGCCGAAAATGGCTGTGAAAATGTTTCTACGTATTCAAACCTTCGGTGTTCGACGCTCGGTGAGGTCGTTGAATACGTTGCTCAATGCTTTGGTGCAGAACAAACGGTTTTCTTTGGTACATTTGTTGTTTAAGCATTCGAGATCCAAATTTGGGGTCGTGCCTAATGTGTTTACTTGTAATATTTTGATCAAAGCGCTTTGCGAAAAGAATGATGTCGAGGGTGCACGGAAGGTGTCTGACGAAATGCCTGCTATGGGTATGGTTCCAAATGTGGTTACTTATACTACAATCTTAGGTGGTTATGTCGCAAGAGGCGATATGGTAAGTGCCAAGAGAGTTTTTGGTGAGCTTTTTGATCATGGTTGGCTTCCTGATGCGACTACTTATACAATTTTAATGAATGGGTACATTAAGCTAGGTAGATTCACTGAAGCTGTTAAGGTGATGGATGAAATGGAAGAAAATGGAGTTGAGCCAAATGATATAACTTATGGAGTCATTATTGAAGCTTATTGTAGGGAGAAGAAGTCTGGCGAAGCACTTAACCTGCTTAATGATATGCTTGAAAAGAAGTATGTACCAAGCTCAGCACTTTGCTGTAAGGTGATCGATGTTTTGTGCGGCGAGGGGAGGGTAAAGGAAGGCTGTAAGCTGTGGGGGAAGCTTTTGAATAAGAACTGTACTCCGGATAATGCTATTACAAGTACCCTTATTCATTGGCTTTGTAAGGAGGGGAATATATGGGAAGCAAGAGACTTATTTAACGAGTTCGAGAGGGGATCGATTCCAAGTTTATTAACTTATAACACGCTTATTGCAGGAATGTGTGAGATGGGGGAGTTGTGTGAAGCCGCTAGGTTGTGGGATGACATGTTGGAAAAGGGTTGTATGCCTAATGAATTTACTTATAACATGCTGATAAAAGGATTTCTTAAAGTTGGTAAAGCTGAGGAAGTGATTGAAGTAGCGGAGGAGATGTTGGATAAGGGATGCTTGCCAAATGAGTCAACTTACTCAATTTTGGCTGAAGAGCTCCTCAAATTGGGAAAAGAAGGAGAGTTCTTGAATATTCTTTCGATGTTCGTCTCGAGCGGAGTTGTAGACGATAAAGCCTGGCATCTATTTGTACCCAAGTTTGTTTGCAATATGGACGAACAAGCAAATATGCTCGAGAAAATATTGATTGAAACTTGAGAGTTCTGGGTATAAATTCTTTACATATTTACAAATCTAATGTACTGTACGTTGAAATACTGCTAATCCTTTCTAGTAAATGCAGTCGTTTGCTTGCTCCAGATTGATTGGTGTCTCATCTCTGATGAACAGGGCGGCAGAGTGCTATTGAGGTATACCCTTTAGAACATGTTTGATGAATGTTTTACCTGCACGATTGTACATGCATATGTCGAACTTGAGGCTGTTCTGCCGATGTGCCGATCTGCCGTTGGGGGTCTCTTCAAGGTACTTCCAACGGAATATAAGTTGTGCTTGTGTTTTTATAAGATACTGTGACATATTCGATGTGTAAGATATTATATATGAAATAGCGTTACTTATTGTAAATTTAGGTCTCTGCTCACTGCTATGCTATGAATTAGGTAGGTTTTTAAGTTGGATGACCTCTCTTTTAAGTATCTCCATTGTCATGAGGTCAGGGAAAGTACCGCTAACCCGTCTTCGATTTTGACCAGCCCGACAAATTCTCGAGGCCGACCTCTTGTACAATGTCGAAGGGCGAGACTGAGGTCTCTCTGGCCCAGTCTTCCTCCCCTTCCACGCGTATTAGAAGCATGCGGGTTGAGTTCAGAAACCTTCATTGGGCATTGTTTAGTGTGGCAGACTTACTTGGCTGATTTGGAGTCAATTTTTGCACCTGATTGAACTAGTTTTTATTCAGTGAACCTTGGAGCTGTGTTCAACTTGATTGTGAGGCAGCTCTTGTAGGTACAGTTCTTTCCTTTTTTTCTCAATAGCCCAACTGTTATTTGAATGAATGGTAGCTGTTTCATAATGTTCAATAGTAAACTCTTCAATTTGTTGTTGTTGATCCTGCTGTTCCTGTGTTTTCTATAGCATGGAACAATGTGCGAGAACAATGTGCGAGAGTACATGATAAGGCAACCCTAATCCTTAGTCCAACGATCTAAGCTTTTGTTGAAGCTAGAACCCTTGAATCAGATTAATTAACACCTCTCATACGAAATTTGGATCAACCAATAGATAAGGCTAGAATTAGATTACCTCTTACGATCGAGGATCTAAAAGCAAAGTTTCTTCGATCTAGAAGCAAGATTTGAAAACCTTGTTTTAAATTGAGTCACTCCACAATCGAACTTGATCAAAGTTTTGATTGAATGGCTCGGGTGCAATTCTACTAAATTGCTTGAAATTTAGAAATGACAAATATGATGCTCGGATTTCTAAGGGAAACGTTTCAATTTGAGATCTGAATGACATTCATCTACGAATCTGAATTTTACGTAACATATTGTGGGTATTTATAGACAAGAGACGTTTGTGAACCGTGAACCGGATTTATTCCTGTTCCCCTTCCATCTCCACAAAAGAACAATCAACACTATTTATAAAATTAAAAATAGTTCTTTCCTACCAATGTTGATCGGTTTGAGTGGCTAATGTTACATGTGATCTGTTCCGTTGACATATTTTTTGAATCTTCGTAACATTTTTTGAATCTTCTTGGCAATAGGATCATTTGGAATACCGTGATTCTTATCGATGCATGTGAAAGCTTTGGCATCAACCAGAATCCATGGCCACCTAGCTACTCAGTTGGAGAGCAACCAGGAAAGGCATAGGCCAAGACACCCGAATGAGTGAACAGTTGAAGGTGCAGTGAGTTTCTTCTAAATCTCTGACAAGGAAAAATGTCATAGTGAAGATGAACAATGATTTGACATGGATTAAAAAATCTGCCTCTTTTCTAATAATTACTTTTTCCAAATAATTTTTCATGCATTGATGAGACCATACTAGTTAACTCTTAGATACTTTTGAATGTTGAATTTGTCTGTGTTGATTGGTTTATCGAGTTGTATGCAATCTAATTTGTTTGTGTGGTTTTGTTTATCAAGATTAGTATTTGTTCTCGTGTATTCTTGCTTTCGTCTCTGTCTCTGCCATTTATTTTATTCTTCATTCTCGTACATTTTTTTTCATTTTTTTTTGTAAAGACAGAGACAGGGACGATGACTCAATATTTTTTTCATAAGCTTTTTAATGGATAATTTCTATTTTTCGATTAAGAAATATAAAAACTTTAATTAATTTAATAATATTTCATAAACAATAAAAATAATATACTTCTTTTTATAAGATCGGTATAGACAAAGAATGTATTAACTTTCATGAATTGCAAATAGAACGTTACATAAAGTAATAAAGTAATAGTTTATTCGTTGTTATCTCTAATTTGGTCATACCATTCTTATCGTTAAAAAAAAAAAATCTTAGAGAATAATAATGTAATGTTAAAGAATATATATATTATCATCTTTTTTATATTTTGGATGTTATCGAACAAATTGAAACTTGTCACGTAGCCCAATCGACAAGGGAATCGTGCTCGAACTCCAGTTAACCTGGGTAATGCCATGACACTTGCATACTAGGTACGAGCTTAGCTACATGATTGTTACGAGTGTACGAACTCTACCTATACATGATTTGTTGACCACAAAGTACAAACAATAAAAATAACACGACAATCCAAGTTATATCATCTTATTAACCAGCTCTGTGTCATGGTCATGCTTGTCCAAGGCGTGTTGCCCATGGCTGCATGTTCATGACAAACCAAACCCTTTATCTTTTTCCATGTTGTAGTGTTTTACTCTGGTATTTCTAGGAAGTACGATGTTTCGGAAAAATCATGCCTATGTCTAGGCCTGCCAAACATGAAATACCTCAAAATATACTGTAGGGGATATGACTAGTTGTCAACTTCTCTTGTAGTAAGCCGTTTGTTGTTGCCTTTTGCTTACATTCCATATAACACCCATTTCAATTTCTCAAATCTTGTTTTCAAAACTCTCTCTGCCCCGTTAGCTAATTTTTTTTTTCTTGAATCGGGGCCAGAGGCTCGAGCATACGTCGCTTGGCCGTAGGCGATGCAAGAACAAATAACCTTAACTCACTCGTTACTGAGAAGTGAGTGTCGCACAATCGCAAATCCGCGGCTATCAAAGTGTGATTGTGACACTCGGCTTATACACCAATTTAAACCGAAGTCCTATAATATCCAACGACAACATAAGTTGTCTGTTGCTGTGCCCTGTCTCCATTTCCCTCCAACTCATCTGCCATCTCTTTCTTACCCAACATTCGGACACAATTCCAAACCAAGCAAATATCAAGCCATCAATTTCTCTTCTTCCCCGATCATCCATCCACCTCAAAACCCTAACAATCGCCTAATCTCAACAACCCCTCCAATGGAACTCTGTCCTTTACTCGACACCCCTCTTCCTTCCTCCCACCGCCGCCTTCTCCGCTCCAAACCTTCCATTTCTGCGCGGCCAATTTCTGGTTTTTCCAATTCTTTACGGCCAACTCGTCGCCGGAATGCTTGTTCTGCTTCGAGCTTCGATACCCTTGTTGCCAGATCGCGTAAGGAGGAAGAGGCTGAGTTTGGAGATTTGAAGGCTTGGATGCACAAAAATGGGCTTCCTCCTTGCAAGGTTGTTCTTGAGGAGAAGGCTTCGCATGATAAGAATCATTGGCCTATACGTTATGTGGCTGCCAGTGAAGATCTTGAGGTGATTTTGTGTTCTGGGTTTTTGTTTTGAAGTGTTTTTATTGCTAATTCAATGGATTTAATTGGGAGCTTTTGGGGACTGTTGGGGTTTTCAGGTGGGTGATGTTGCATTTTCGGCGCCGGATTCCTTGGTCGTGACGCTTGAGAGAGTTCTTGGAAATGAGACCGTCGGTATGGTTTATTCTTTGCTATGGTTGTTTGTCAGTTGCTCGCACGTGTCCACCCCGTCAAGCAGATATTGTTCTCTTTGAGCTTTTCCTTTCGGGCTTTATCTCAAGGTTTTTAAAATGTGTCTATTAGGAAGAGGTTTTCATACCCCTTATAAGGAATGTTTCGTTCTCCTCTCCAACCGATGTGGGATCTCACAATCCACGCTGGTACACTGCCCGATGTTTGGCTTTGATACCATTTGTAACAGCCGAAGCCTACCGCTAGTAGATATTGTTCTCGTTGAGCTTTCCCTTTCAAGCTTCCCCTCAAAGTTTTTAAAATGCGTTTGTTAGGGAGAGATTTCAGACCCTTATAAAGAATGTTTTGTTCTCCTCCCAAACCGACGTGGGATCTCACAATCCACCCCCTTTGGGGCCCAGCGTCCTCGTTGGCACTCGTTCTCTTCTCCAATCGATGTGGGACCCTCCAATCCATCTTTCTTTAGGGCCCAACGTCCTGGCTGGCACACCATTTCATGTCTACCCCTTCAAGGCTTACCCTTTTTGCTGACACATCGTCCAGTGTCTGGCTTTGATACCATTTGTAAGGGTGTGGAAACCTGTCCCTAGCAGAAGCGTTTTAAAAATCTTGAGGGAAAGTCTGAAAGAGAAAGCCCAAAGAGAACAATATATACTAGCGGTGAGCTTGGGCCGTTAGAACTTTGGTTTGGCTCGTAATAACTTATTTGTACTTTTATTTTGGAAGCTGGAAGACAATCTTGATTTCATAACTTTTATGGCTGTTTGGACTTCTTGCAGCCGAGTTGTTAACCACCAACAAGTTATCAGAGTTGGCATGCCTAGCTTTGTACTTGATGTATGAAAAGAAACAAGGAAAGAAGTCTTTCTGGTACCCTTACATTAGAGAGCTCGATCGCCAGCGTGGGAGGGGCCAACTAGCCGTGGAGTCGCCTCTTCTATGGTCGGAAGCTGAACTCGACTACCTCTCAGGAAGTTCGACAAAGGTAACAAGATTGTTATGCAACTTATTGTATGCATAGTTCACCTAGTCACTCATTTTGGGTAAGATCCCACCTCGGTTGGAGATAGGAACGAAACATTCCTTATAAGGGTGTGAAAACCTCTCCCTAGTAGACGCGTTTTAAAACCATGAGATTGACGGCGATATGTAACAAGCCAAAGTGAACAATATCTACTAGTGGTGGTCTTGGGCTGTTATAAATGGTATCAGAGCCAGACACTAGATGGTGTGCCAGAGAGGACGCTGGCCCCTAAGAGGGTGGATTGTGAGATCCCACATCAGTTGGAGAGGAGAATGAAACATTCCTTACAAGGGTGTGGAAACCTCTCTAGTAGACGCGTTTTAAAACTGTGAGGCTGACGGCGATACGTAACGGGCGAAAGCAAACAATATCTCCTAGCGGTGGGCTTGAGCTATCACAAATGGTATCAGAGCCAGACATCAGGCGGTGTGCCAGTGAGGGCGTTAGGCCCCCAAGTGGGTGGATTGTGAGATCTTACATCGGTTGGAGAAGGGAACGAAACATTCCTTATAAGAGTGTGGAAACCTCTCCCTAGTAATGACAGTGATACGTAACGGGTCAAAACGGACAATATCTACTAACGGTGGGCTTGGGCTATTACAAATGGTATCAGAGTCAGACACCGGGTGGTGGGCCAGCGAGGACGTTGGGTCCCCAAGGGGGGTGAATTGTGAGATCCCACATCAGTTGGAGAGGGGAACGATACATTCCTTATAAGAGTATGAAAACCTCTCCCTAGCAATGACAGTGATACATAACGAGCCAAAGCAGACAATATCTGCTAACGGTAGGCTTGGGCTATTACAAATGGTATTAGAGCCAAACATCGGGCGGTGTGCCAACAAGAACACCGGGCCCTCAAGGGGGTTGGATTGTAAGATCCCACGTCGATTGGAGAGGGGAACAAAACATTCTTTATAAGGGTGTAGAAACCTCTCTCTAGTAGACACGTTTTAAAACCGTGAGATTGACGGCAATACATAACGAGTCAAAACGGACAATATCTACTAGCGGTGGGCTTGAGTTAGAAATTTCCTACCTAAAATTCGTACTTGTATGGATCAGAAAGAAGTTCTCGAACGGGCGGAAGGAATCAAGAAGGAGTATAATGAGCTTGACACTGTGTGGTTTATGGCTGGCTCTCTGTTTCAGGTAATCCATCAAGTTGCTGAGTATATGATAGATGATGATTTAGACTAACTTTTATTGGGAAATTTGCAGCAATACCCATATGATATTCCAACGGAAGCATTTTCCTTTGAGATTTTCAAACAAGCCTTTGTTGCAGTTCAATCATGTGTGGTGCATTTACAGGTAATTCAAACATGTTTTGTTTCACCATCTGTCTTCATGTTCTTTTTCGATGTTTTTAAGGTATTCTTTGTTCTTAAGAAGCTTCCAAATTCATCATCTAAAGGCTTATTGAATATAGAATGTAAGTTTGGCTCGGAGATTTGCTTTGGTTCCTCTTGGCCCTCCGTTGTTGGCTTATAGAAGCAATTGCAAGGCAATGTTAACTGCTGTTGATGGTGCTGTGGAACTAGTGGTTGATCGGCCGTACAAGGCTGGGGAATCAATAGCGGTTTGGTAAGTTTGCAACCGTGCTACTGAGTGATGTAACAATCCAAGCTCACCGCTAGCAGATGTTGTCATCTTTGGACTTTCCCTTTCGAGCTTCCTTCAAGGTTTTTAAAACGCGTCTGCTAGGGAGAGGTTTCCACACCCTTATAAAGAATGCTTTGTTCCCTCTCCAACCGATGTGTGATCCCACAATCCACCCCCCTTCGGAGCCTAGCGTCCTTGCTGACACCCGTTTCTCTCTCCAATCGATGTGGGATCTCATAATCCAATCCCCTTCGGGGCCCAACGTTCTTGTTGCACACCACCCAGTGTCCACCCCCCTTTGGGGCTCAGCATCTTCGTTGGCACACCGCCCAGTGTCCACCCCCCCTTCAAGGCTTAGCGTCCTCACTAGCACACCGCCCGATGTCCACCCACTTTCAGGGCTCAACGTCCTTGCTGACACACCACCCAATGTCCACCCCCTTCAGGGCTTAGCGTCCTCGTTGGCACATTGTTCGGTGTCCACTCTCCTTCAGGGATCAACATCCTCGCTGGCACTCCGCCGGTGTCCACCCCCCTTCAGGGTTTAACGTCCTCACTGGCACACTGCCCAGTGTCCACACTCTTCGGGACTCAGCATCCTTTCTGGCACACCGCCCGAATGCCAACGAGGACGCTAGACCCCGAAAGGGGGTGGATCAATTGTGAGATCCCACATCGGTTGGGGAGGAGAATAAAGCATTCTTTATATAAGGGTATGGAAACCTTTCCCTAGCATACGCGTTTTAAAAAGCTTGAGAGAAACCCCAAAAAGGACAATATCTGTTAGCGGTGGGCTTAGACTATTACAATCAATATTTTTGTTCATGCTACCTATTCTTAATTCATTTAGCAAGATTTCCATTCCTGTTCAATCTCAAGAACAGGTGCGGGCCACAGCCTAATTCAAAACTACTCCTAAACTATGGATTCGTCGACGAAGATAACCGCTACGATCGCTTAGTAGTCGAGGTTAGCCTTCATGTTTGATTGTAACTCACAATCTTTTGGATCAATATCACTTAACATCCTTGTTCTCTGTGTCAGGCAGCTTTGAACACCGAAGATCCTCAATATCAAGATAAAAGAATGGTTGCTCAAAGAAATGGCAGATTATCAATACAAACCTTTTATGTATGAATTCAAAACACCGACAGAAATGAAGTGTTTAAGCTATTGTGTTTCATAAAATGTCATTTCTGACACAGATTTATGCTGGAAAGGAGAAAGAAGCTGTCTTAGACATGCTTCCTTATCTTAGGCTTAGCTATGTCACTGATCCGTCAGTTATGCTGTCTGTTCTTTCTTCTCAAGGTCCTGTCTGTCCTGTAAGTATTAAATGTCGCTGTTGGCTTATGAACCAATGTGGGCAATCCACCAATGTTGAAACGTTGCTTCTTAGGTGAGCCCTTGCATGGAAAGAGCTATGTTGGAACAAGTTGCTGGCTATTTCGAGCGACGACTGGCTGGCTACCCGACTACGTTGAGCGACGATGAGTCTCTGGTAATGTTTTCGTTATGAATCCATTGTTCTTCACGTTTGCTTACTCGTTTGTTTGATCAGCTGGTCGATGGTGATTTGAACCCGAAGAAGCGAGTTGCTACTCGGCTTGTTAGATTGGAAAAGAAGATTCTTCAGTCATGCTTGGAAGTGACTATTGATTTCATGTATCAGTTGCCGGATCATAGTGTTTCTCCATGCCCTGCTCCCTATGAACCTTTTTTGAGATGAGTTAGATCGTCACGAATCGAGCTGCGATACGAAATCCTCCATCCCGAGGTGAAGCAAAAATCAAGGTTAGTTTGATGAAAACTCGTTCTTCTGAGCTTTTTTTCGTTTAGTATCCGGGGTGGTGGCCGATGGGTCCATGCATCATATGCCCACCGCTGGTAGGTATTGTCTGCTTTAGACAGTAAGAAAAGCCCCAACAGTACCTGACCACTCTGAATGAACAACCAACCATCCCATGTAGTGGGCAGCTTACTTAGACTAACCTCTCAAATTGCTTCCTGTAAATAACCATAACTACTAATCCATCGCAATTTTGTGATCGTACGCTCGAAGTCTCGTAAATAAACACGATGATTAACATGTATCTCTCTTTTGTTCTTGAAGTTTCAAAGCAAATATCGTCGATCTCTAAAATTTTGAGGAGAATTATTAAAATAGTTCGTGGGTTTCTTTGATCATTCGTTGAATGATAGTAGGTTGACTTTGCAGCTGAGCTGTTGACTATACTCGACTGATTTGACCTTAACGGTTGACTATATCCTTACTGGTCGTCAGAAAATCTAGCTAGACATCACCTGTGAGATCCCACTCGATTGGAGAGGAGAACTTACGAAATATTTTTTATAAGTGTGTGAAAACTTTTTCTTAGCCAACGAATTTTAAAAACCTTGAAGGGAAGGACTTGGACCGTTACAGTAGTAGTGATCATTTTCTTGGACTATTACATTGTTGTTAGAGAATCTCTTTGGTCTAGTGATCATTATCGAATCTCCTATCATTTGAACGATCACATCATGAATGAGGAGCATCTGATGATGAAGTTCCCGTTTAATTATGAATACGATGTTTTGAGAAGATGAAAAATTGAAAAATATTTTTAGAAACTATTTAAATAATTTTGAAAACTTAGTTTGAAAAAATATGTAATAAATAAATAAATAAGTTGGTCGTTGAGGGAATGAAGCTTTTTATTGACACGTCAGATTTTTCAGTTCCGTATTGAATTTCCATTTGTTTTTAAGCCAATCAAATTCCCCCGTCGCCTACTTTTCTCACCGGGTGGCAGAAGTTAAAAAACCCTCCTTACCAACTGTAATCCACATCCAACGGTGACGATCAACCAATTCACCCACTGGCGGCTTCAATCTTAGCCGTCCAATTCCCCAGATACCGTGTGGAAATCGTGGGCTTTGCGTCTCAGCATAGTAGACTAGAGAGTGAGGGCTTCGCACTCTCTCTCTCTCTCTCTAGGTCTTCGACGCGGTTTTCTCTTCTTTTCTTTTCTTCTCTTCGATCTTCGATTGTCGTTGTTTTGCTGCAAGTTTTCAGGGATTTGAGGTTTGGATGTTCTGTTTACACTCTGCTTGTGTTTGAAGTTCGATTTGAAGTTGTGGGATTCTGTGGCGGCTTCTGATCTACGCTTCTGAATTGGGGTTTTCTCGGTTCTTCAGTTGTTGGGGGGTTGTTCTTGCGATTCAGACAGTGTGAGAGGTTTTTTTGTGTGGAGCTATTGGACTAGGAAGCTTGTGAGGCTACTGGTAAATCATCTAGGGTTCTTTTTTTTCATTGGCCGTTTGTATATGGTCAAATCTTGGGGAGGGTTTTGTTGTACTTGGTTAATTTGTAAAGACAAGAGTATTGGCTTTGGATCTACTTGCTTTCTCTTGGCGTAATTTATTTGTACTATTGACTTATAATAGTTTTAAAATTGTGTTTTTCTGGCTTGATTTGCTTTTATGATTTTTCTTATGTTAATATTGTCTTTTGTGGTTTTAATCGTGAGTTAATGAACAAAAGTGTTGATATTGAGTTCAGCTGAGTGGGAAGCAATTTTCGATCTTGGTGTTTTCACTTTCTTCAGGGTTTAGCCTGAATGGTTTGGCGTGTTTGCAGTGGAGGTGCATGATCACGCCCGTGTTCAATTAGTCTGCATTCTTGAAGAACCAGAATTGCTCCAAGGCGCTACCGAAGCAGCTCATGGTTCATATAAATGGATATGAGGACGGAAAAGAATATTAGATACCCAGAAAGATACTATGGTAGTAGTTCCTTTCGCACTGCTGGTGAATCAGAGGGCTCTGGAAGCTCGGGAAGAATTGATCCTGAGATTGCTGTTTCGGAAGTTTCTAGCACGCCGATGAGAAGATGTATGAGTTTTAATTCTGATAGGCGTGAAGGGTTGCGAGTCCGAACCCAAGTTCTTCCCTTGACAAGCCTGTTGCAATCTGAGAGGAAGGACTTGGTTTATAGGTTGAGAAATGAACTGGAACAGATTCAAACCCTCAGAAAGAAAGTAGAATTGCTTAGAACAAATAGTTTTACAGTCTCATCTTCGAGTGATATTCTTAGTTGTAGCAACGTGCGCGATGGGCCATCAGCTGAACACATTAAAAATACCTCAAATTTGTCTTCTGGGCAACGAAAGAAATCTAATGTTCCGAGCCATAAGAAAGGGCATGGATGCAGTCGGGTTGCTTCGGGTAAAGTTGGGTCTACCGTGCAAGCATCTGTTTCCAACACCACAACCACTACTTCAGCGATTTTGATGAAACAGTGTGAACAACTTTTGAAAAGAGTAATGTCACACCAGTATGGCTGGGTATTTAACACTCCTGTTGATGTGGTGAAGTTAAATCTCCCTGATTATTTCACAATTATCAAGCACCCAATGGATTTGGGAACTGTGAAAACTAAGTTATCTTCTGGAGCATACTCAAGTCCACTGGATTTTCTTGCTGATGTGAGGCTCACTTTCACCAATGCAATGACATACAACCCTCCTGGCAATGATGTGCACATCATGGCTGATGTTCTTAACTCATTTTTTGATATGAGATGGAAAGCTATTGAGAAAAAACTTCCAAAAATGGATGGTCATGCATTGCCAACTAAATCTAGACCACGAGAAGATGTTGAGACTGTTAAGCAAGTACCTCCAAAAAAGATGAAAGTTGCTTCTGGGCCTCAAGAAATTACACCCATACCCGCCAAGCGTGTAATGACAGACGAAGAAAAGCTAAATCTGGGGAGAGAGCTGGAGTCGATGTTAGGAGAATTTCCCCTGCATATAATTGACTTCTTGAGAGAGCATAGCTCTGGTGGAAGGGAATGTGGAGAAGATGAATTTGAGATTGATATTGATGATCTCAGCGATGATACACTTTTCAAATTGCGGAAGCTACTAGATGATCATTGTCAGGAGAAACAAAAGAACAATGCCAGTGCTGAACCGTGTGTGATTGAGGTATTAATACCAATTCGACGATTGTGTTATATTGTAATCTTTCTATGTATTTGACTGCTTTTGTTTTAAATAACTTATTACTTTCAGTTGCAGATGTTGAATGACTCTGGAGTAAGCAACTCATCAATGCAACCATCTAAAGGTCTTGGGCCTACCTCGATTTCACTATGAGTACTAGCGACACGTTTTTCATATAGTTCTTTATTTTATTTTCTTCCATTTCAATATTAGGGGGTGGGCCAATTGATGAGGATGTGAATGTTGGTGGACATGAAGCTCCTGTTTCAAGCGGTGCTCCTATGGAGATAGATAAAAACGCTATGGATGCTATCCTTAGGAACAGAAAATGTACGAGCTCAAGGAATTCAAAAGGTTAGTACAGTTTACTTTTTCTATCTTGTATTGGTACTCTGTTGTGGCATGTTATCATCGCCGTTTTGCACGATAAAAATATTTTACCAGTTATAACTACATAATATAGCTATTAACAACACAAAGATTCCGTAATAATAGGTATCGAAGCTAAAAGATTCATATGTTACTCATGTTGATAAATGAGTGGAATATCATCATGAATGTGCAACCTTTTTGTTATCTGACCTATTCATTGACAATATCGTTTATTGTCAGCAGATTCAGACTCTTCTAGTTCTGAAAATGAATCCGAGTGTGATAAAGCTCCAATTCATGTGCACGAGCAGGTATTTTATTGATTATTGTTTTAGCCTCAAATGGATATGGCTTCTAGAAAATTTGCATTCGGGCTTTGCTTGTATTGTTAAATGGATGTTAGAGGTGGTTGATTTTTCTCTTTGGACTATCGACAGGTTCCAGAAACAATTGGCTCCGCAGGTCTAGTAATTGAAACGACAACCTCGGGCGGACCGTTTGAAAGGAATCGTGGGTGTTCTTATCCTTCCTTCATCTTTCCTCATAAAGAAATTGGATTATGCAATACCCATCTTTATCTTCATGAATTGAATAACTCTTTGCTGGCTGAGCAAGTATTAAATGTGTTCATGCTGTGTTTTTGTACTCGATATACTTCTGCATCGTGTTTGGTTCATGCCTTTTAAGTTCTGATTGAATCCCCTCCTGACAAATTCGTACTTTGTTTGGATTATTCAACAAATTTGTGTTCTTTAAACGTTGTCTGGTAAAAAGAAGCATGCTCGTATGAGCGCGCCTCTCTATTGATTCATGTTGTGTGTGTTTTATAACTTAAATCTTAATCGTTGTCTCTATTGATTCATGTTCTTGATACCATTCTTCTGAAATTTTGTTTTATATTGTTATTGAAGCATTTGCTTTGCAACTTATGCTATTTAATGACTTCTCTCAGAATCTGAAGGTGGCTATGAACAACTTGAGCAGACTTCCGGCAAGCCCAGTTCTACCGAATCAGACTGCAATCAGGATGGTGAGTTGAAGTGTGGCATGCCTATCATACTCCAAGAGACGAGAATGGCCCCTGTTTTGACTACATTCCTGTTAATTCTTTTATCAACATTGCAGGTAACTACGCTGCATCTGAGAAGCCAGTCTCCCCCGAGCGGCTTTTTCGAGCTGCTCTGCTTAAAAACCGATTTGTTGACACAATTTTAAGAGCTAAAGAAAAGACGATGGCACAGGTTGGTTCAAAACATGGCCTACTTGTTTAACATCCTACTACTTTTTATGGATTTTGCAATGAGTGATTGCGAGTTTTGATCTGGATGGTGTGCGTTTTGATCTGGTCCGAGATCAGGGCGACAAGGGCGATCCTGAGAAGTTGAGACAGGAGAGGGAGGAGCTGGAGCAGGAGCAAAGGAAAGGTATAGTTGAACAGACTCGTCAATTTGATTGACTTTGTTCCAGTGGTTGAGATCAGTGTGTGTTATTAACACTCTTTGTACGTGAAATTTAGAAAAAGCTCGACTACTAGCAGAAGCAAAGGCTGCACGCGATGCACAAAGACGAGCCGAAGCCGAAGCTGCAGCCGAAGCTAAACGAAAGAGGGAACTCGATAGAGAAGCAGCACGACAGGCATTGCTCCAGGTAAGTTACACAATCAATCCAAGTTCAGATCAGTAGTCACCCGAAACTCCATAGTTTTTACTCGTTTACTCGAATATAATGCCAGATTGAGAAAACCGTTACAATAGATGAGAACTCCCAATTCCTGGAAGACTTGGAGATGCTTAGAACCGCTCATACCGAACCCCTGCCGAGCTCGGTGGATGAGACAAGCCCCGATCACTCGCAAGATGGTCTGGGCAGTTTCAAATTTGTAGGGAGCAATCCATTAGAACAACTCGGGTTATTCATTAAAGCAGACGAAGAGGACGAGGAAAACGAGCCAAATTATATCTCGAACTCTATAAAAGATGTAGAAGAAGGTGAAATTGATTAGAGGATAAAATAGTGTGATGTTAATTCAACGGTAGAATTGAATAATCAATCCCTTTTGACTGAAGATAGAAACTGGTGTGTTCCTCCTAGTCCTGATCATTGGTTATATTTATTTAGACGAAATACGATAGAAGATAGTGGGAGTGGATAGGCGTTCATATGACCAGATATCCCGACCAATCCATATTATCCAATCCAAACCATAAAGGGTTATATTGGGACCGACCCTTGAGTTCGGGATTCTGATTTTCTGGGGGGTCATGATTGATAATAGTTTAGTTTGTTATATATTTATCGATTCATACCGATGAGTTTGTGAAAACAACTCGAATTCATAAAAGGTTATCTTTTTTCTTTTTTCTTTTTTTTTGTCTCAAAAAACTAATTAATTAATTCAAATAGTTTCTCCTCTTGAATTTAGGGTTTGTAGTAGAGTATTAGTTTTGAAAATTAAAAAACTAAATAAATATTAAATTCAAGTTTTACGAATCAAAAATAGATTTTTGTTATATTTATCTACCTTGGAGCTTTTTAATGAAAACTTTAGATTATTAATTTGTGAAACGATATTGTTTTCTCGAGCATAGTTTGGCTAGTGAATGATATTTTAAACCCTAAACCTTAAAAAAGTGGTTTGAATTTCTATACTTACAGGTCGTTGTTCGGATAGTGAATGACATTTTAAACTCATTCTCCAGAGAATTCTCGAAACTATCTCTCCAATTCTTTTGGGATTAACTCTCTCTATTATTCCTTTGAGATTTTCTTTCAAGAGGCTCCCACAAGTCTTGACTTTGTGTTCGAGTCAGAGTAAGGAATATCTTATCGAATGTTGAAGAGCTCCTCTCTCCAATTCCTTTGGAATTTTCTTTCAAGAGGCTCCCACAAGCCTTGACTTTGTGTTCGAGTCATAAGGAAGATCTTATGGAATGTTGAAGAGCTCCTTGGAATACTCCAAAGAGTCTTGCAAACTAGGGTTTCTATGTAGGCTCCAAAACTCCAGCAATTGAAAAATGGCTTAAAAAGTTTGAATTTCTATAGTCGGATTAATACAATATATATATATATATATATTTTTACCTTATCCAGTTTGAGTTTTAGGAGTCTCAAAGTATTAAAGAATTTTTTTATTATCATTTTTAATTTTTTTTTAATAGTCAAAATTTAGTCGATTTATATTTTTCATAAATCTCAAATTTAGTCACGGTTATTTTTTAAAAAATAATTAATATGTATTAGCATTTTGTTTATACAATTTTTAAATGTATAGTTGTATGAAATAAAATTTAATATTATTTAATCAATTTTAATAAATATAAAATTTGGATGACTAAATTTATAACTTATTAAAAATATGAAGATAACTTTTTTTTTTTTTCTATAAATCATAAATACGGAAAACTTTTTCAGTGGCTGTCTATTTGATTCTCCCAAAAAAGGGGGGCAAAAATGTTTGGATCTTCGTGTTTATTTATTGGCTTTCAATCTCTCCCATCCAAATTCCCATCTCGCTTTTTCGATTTTGATTTTCCCCAAAAGCCGATCCCTTCCCTCCCTTTTCAATTTTCCCGATCGCCGGATTGCTTCCGCCTCCGATCCCGATCACCGGCCCGAACGGGTTTCAATGGAAACCCATCTCAACCCTCTCCCTTTCTTCTTCTCGATCTTCTTTACCATCTATATCATTGCTTATTTCCTATTGTTTCGTAATTGGAGCCCTAAGATCCGGCCGGAAGCTGCGAGTTGCGCGATCTCCTTCGCTCATGGCACCCCCGCCGTGATCTTAGCTTCCAAAGCTATTCTCGCCGATGTCGCTCGCGGTTTTGCCTCATCCAATACGGATTTTCAAAACTCCGTCCTCGATTACAGCATCGCCTACTTTCTCATGGATCTGTTGCACTATCTCATCTTCTTCCCTGCAGATTTGCTCTTCATTGCGCATCATTTGGTCACTCTCTTTGTCTTCGTCACTTGCCGTTACCTCGTCTCTTATGGCGCTTATGCGATTCTTGTCCTTCTCATTCTCGCTGAGGTCACTAGCTTCTGCCAGAACGCTTGGACGCTCGCTAGAGCCAGAAGAGCTGATGTTGAGTTCGCTGATAGAGTATACAATCTTCTATCTCCTCCATTTTATGTGCTGTATTCGATCGTCAGGGGATTTGTTGGGCCTTACTTCCTTTACAAAATGGGTGAGTTCTTCTTCAATGGAGGAGCTGAGACTGTGATTCCTAAGTGGGTTTGGATGTCTTGGATTTTTGTTGTTGCTGCTGCCATTTCTGTGAGTATTTTGTGGATTACAAATCTCTGGATTGAATTATACAGAGAAAGAAGCAGCAAATTAGAGAAGAAGAAGGCAAGGTAGGAGAAAGCAATTTGGCTTTCTTCACTTTCTTCTTTGTTCTTACATTAGTTCGAATTTCTTATGATTAACAACAGGGAAAATGATATCAAAATTGGTGTTTCTTTCAACCCACATCTGAAGAACAGGGGGAGGAGGAGGTAGGAACCAATTGAGTTCTATTTGTTTCTGTTAGATTCATTTATCATTCACACAACAAAAAAGGGTGTCAAAATCTGAGAAGTTTTGTGGTTTTTGTTTCATCCCCCATTTGGATATATGATCTTTGTTCTTCTTCTTCAATGACTTATTATTGTTCTTTCCATGTAGCTTACACACACACACATATATATATATACACACACGCTGTGAATTCCTGTGTTATTTCAGTATGATATGATTTAGACACATTTTGTTGCCCTTTTGAGCTATAGAAATAGGCAAGAAATGGCCAAAGAAGTGACAAGATGGAGGGTTCTCATGCCTGTTTGTTACTTTGTGTCTGATAAACAAGAGGGAAATGAATGCAAGTAAATAGAAGCAAAGCTTTTATATTGCGATTGTGTATGAAGAGTCAAAGAATTGACGGTGTAAATCCCTCGCCAAGATAGTTTGAATGCTAAGATTCTCTCTAATCTTCAGCTAAAAGTGACACTTTATCACTCTACAAACATACTTCTAGACACTATTATCATCTGCTTCATTCTGTATCGGTTGATGGGTAATTTATGAGTAGAAATGGTAGTTCTTGGCTTGAAGTATGATATTCCTTAGTCCTCCAATGGGTGATATTACTGTAAGAAGCACTCCGAGTACGATGCATATCTGAAACCGAACATGAACGGAGAATGTTAGGTTTACTTGAATTTGAAAGGATTTGTGTGAAGAATCTGATCAAATGAAAGCAGTGTCTAAGAAGAACTTTACCCAGTTAGTCCACCAAGATAAGCCAAACTTTTTGGGTTTGTATATGACAAGCCATATGACACAGGGAAGCTGAGAAGGCAAAATGAAATGAGAAGGATCAGCAGGCAAGTATTGTGTAGCTTCATGAAAAATTCTTTAGGTGGTTTTGTTTTTCATGTTCTTGGACTGAGATATTGAGTTAGAAGCTGTAGCTTACAAAAAATGTTGTAGGGGCAAAGGCGAATCCTCCAAAGAATCCGAGTAGCCCACCGAAGAAAGGGAAGGTAATTCCTATGAACATTGTAAGTCCTGCAAGGATAAAACGATCAGTAGTAGCTCTATTCAAATTGAGCGAGTTATAAGTTGAATAATGAGTACATTGGTTGCTTACCGACATAAACGTTACGAGCAACGAATCGAAGCATAAAACTAGGCGTGAAATGTAGTTTCTTCACCAATAAAGTTTCTATCATGTCGAACACTGGCATTGCATATATCTGCAGTCATATGAACAATTATGTTTCGTTTGATTCTTCGTGCAACTATCCCTTCGATCCGTTCATACAGATTGTAGAAGATAATAAGATTTTGACATCGTTTGAGAAGTTTACCTGGTAACTTCCTATAACATGGATGACAACAAACATGTTAGCCATGGCAATAAGCCATGCAGGTTTCTCTAGCGATAGCAGAATGTTGTCTTTGACAGTATTTCCGAACGTCCAGTATCCGATCAAAGCAACAGGGAAGTAGCACAGAGCGACGATTATATATGCGACGACGACTCCTTTCCACATGGCTTTTTTCGAGGGCTTCTCCGGTGTAGACGGGATTGTTGCTTGGATTTCCAGCACGACGTTGTGGCCTGCATATGCAAAAGCCACATCTCCAAGAGCATTCAAAAAGTTAAAAACTGTCCCTGATGTAGTGGTAGCTTTGTATCCATACTGCACATCTGGTTGAACACCCTTAGCAACAGAAGTTGTCCAAGCAATCGTTGAATATCTGCAAATCAATCAACAATTCAAGGTCAGTTTCTGCTATATATCTTGTATAGCTTTCACATATAGCAAGCAGTCAGCATATCATACGTCAAGGACATAACAGCTGCAGCCAACGAGACGCCTGAGATGGAGTTGAAGTTGGGGAGGTGGGAGATTACGAAATGAATCGAGGCGAAGATCATGATAAAGTAAGTTAATTTGATATTCTTGCAGCTCGGGCACACGATGTCGTGGAACTTTTTCAGTGAATGACCGCCGGTGACCATATAAACTATGTTGGTACCAACTTCAACAATCAATTGCTGAGGCACCACTATGTAAAGGCCTAATTTCTCACCAAATGCATGTTGACCAAGCTCATGGTACCTATCAAATCTCTTCCCGGGAACCATTTCATGCATCTCCACCATTTGCCATAATGTGTATAAAGTGACGATCCATGACAATACCAACACAGCCACACCAGGACCCCTGCAGGTTCAAATTGGTTAGATCGATGTCGATCAGTGTTCAAATTGATATGAACTTGTTTTCGAAAACCGAGCTCATTACCATCCAAGGTTTGACATAGCATATGGAAGACTAAGGACACCAGCACCAACCATGGCGGTGACATTGTGGAAGGTAGAATACCACCATTTTGCATTCCTTGACGAAGTAATTGGAAGCCACTCATCTATTTTCTTTTGTTCCTTCGTCTTTTCGACTCCCTATCAATCAACAAAAAGGCAAAAACATCTCAATGGCAGGCATAAATAAGAGCAAGCAATCAAAAAGTAATATTATTATAATCTTAAGGATCGAGGTACATTAAAGTAATGATTAAACTATAATATGGGTTACTTTTTGATCTTCACGTACTTTTGAAATGGGTATCAAAAAGGTTCTTTTTGAGTGTTTTATGATCCAAATTTGGCAAGCTAAACATTTCTTATAAATGTGTGGAAACTTCTCTCTAGTGATACGTAACGAGTTAAAGAGGGACAATATCTACTAGTGATAGACTTGAGCTGTTACACATCGCTCGAGAATTGGACCGACAGGCGGTTTAGCAAAGTCTTTAAGGTCAATATCGATAACTCATCCCTTTATTGCAATTCAAATATGTGGACAAAATGGCCACAACGTGACACCATCCATCAAAGTCGAAGTCCACAAGTGGCCAGTTTTCTCACATCTAGATTTCATACAATTTGGCTGTTGGTCCAATCTCTCTCTTAAAATACTGTCTACATAAAAACAGGGGAGAAAAATGAAATAGAAACCAGAGCTGTTGCTGTTCCCAACAGGACAAAAGAAAGTGGGGGCACAACTTCATGTTTCTGAATGATTTGTATGTGTAGAAAGAACCTCGACTTTTAAGCAATTCAAAGCGGATTTAAAGGTGATTTTGAACCTAACGAAGCTTCCATTGCTAGCCGATATTGTCCTCTTTGGACTTTTACTTTCGAGCTTCTGCTCAAAGTTTTTAAAACGCATCTACTAGAGAGAGGTTTCCACACTCTTATAATAAATGTTTTCATTTCTCTCTCCAATCATGTGAGATCTAACAATCTACCCTTTTTGGGCCTAGCATCCTCGCTGCCACACTACTCAGTCTCCGGCTCTAATACCATTTGTAACAGTCTAACTCAAGCTCACCACTAATAGATATTATCCTTTTCGGGTTTTACTTTCGAACTTTCCCTCCATGTTTTTCAAAAGTGTTGATTAGAGAGAGGTTTACATGCCTTTATACAAAAATGTTTCATTCTCCTATCAACCAATGGATCATATTCTCATGTTCTTGGGTGCATTCCAACCAAAGTAAGCTTAAACACTTTCTAGGAAGAATCCACATGAATCTATTTTTCCTTTTTGTTCCAAATTACAAACCATTTTCACCCTAAAATAATCTCCTAACATGGAACCCAACCTACTTTGTTCAAGTTGTGCAATAGAACATGAACAAAACCAAGAAAATGATCACGTTCCCAGAACCCAACAACGAAATGCACAAAAAGAAAAAAAAATAATAATAAATGAATACACCAACATGAAACTGACTCAATCGATTAAAACACCGTAGTTAAAAGTTCGAATCCATAAGAATCAATCAGAGTATAGTTAAAAAATGGAATTCAAATGGAAGAAGAACAGATTGTTCACAAATGAATTACAGAATCATGAACTTCGCGCATATAACAAACTATCAAATCAACGATTTAGATTCAGTAGAACAAATTCCTAACTACGAAATTTCCCCAAACTAAAACAGAACAAAATCCTCAACGAGTTTCGATTCGATCCAATCATCAATTGAAAAACAAAGAGAAAGAGAAACAAACATCGTCGTTGCCGTCAGCATTCCATGTTCTTGGCGGAGCTTCAGTTCCCATCAATGGCGAAAACCTAAAAAACTGAACAAGAAATCGCAACGAAGAAGAACAACAACAACAACAAGAAATGAACAAAAATCACAGAAGCTCTGATTTCTCCATAAAATCGAAATGGAGACGCCGTATTTAAAGAAGAAGAGGGAGTAAAGATCTGCAAGTTTCAAAGTGAAGGATCGCATCATCCATTGATTTTGATTTCGATTTTTTTTTTTTTTTTTTTGAATTTTCTACAATTTGCAATTATTTAATTTCCTTTTCTTTGGAACCCAGCTAGAATTTTCGTTCACACCAATTTTTTGAAGTCAATTGCTACTGAAAATTTTCAAATTTTGCTGTTTTTTAAACTCAAATAATTATATTTTTATTAGAATTTTTTCTTTTTTGGTTTGAAAATTATAATCACAGCTCATGTTTAAGTACTCTAATTAATTCCATTAAAAAAAACCTACAAATTTATTATATATCCTAATCGCTACCGATATTGTTAGAAGGTCACTGTTATAACTTAATAAAAATATATCTGAGTTGATAAGATATCAGTAATTTTTTTATTATAATATGAGTGGATAAGATAACTGTAATTTTTTTATTATAATATAACTGAGTCGACACGGGTATCTATAATTTCTTTAATTAGAATATAACTGAGTCGACAGATATCTGTAATTATTTCCATTAGAATATAACTGAGTCCACAAAATATCTGTAATTTTTTTATTAGAATACAATTATGTCGACAAGATATTTGTAATTTTTTTATTATAATACAACTGAGTCGACAAGATATCTGTAATTTTTTTTATTAGAATATAACTGAGTCGACATATATCTGTAATTTTTTTATTAGAATACAACTGAGTCCACAAGATATCTGTAATTTTTTTATTACAATATAAGTGAGTCGATAATATCTGTAATTTTTTTATTCGAATATAACTGAATTGATAAGATATCTGTAATTTTTTTTATTATAATATAACTTATCAACAAGATATTTGTAATTTTTTTTTATTAGAATATAACTGAGTCGACAAGATATTTGTAATTTTTTTTTATTAGAATATAACTGAGTCGAAAGATATCTGTAATTTTTTTATTAGCATACAAGTGAGTCGAC